TTTTTGTCTTTTTTTAATTTATAAAACATTTAATGTTTTATTTGCTATATTTTTAATATTAATGTGTTAATACTTACTCATTATGTTTTTATTTGTATTTGACTAAAGTATTTTTGTGTATTTTAACAAAAACTTTTCTGACATATTGGAGCAGATTTAAAAGTTTTCATTCGGTTCGTTTTACATTTTATTTGTTGCGTCTGTGTTTTATTATTAGATGCACAAGTTGTCACTTTCATTAATGAAACTAGTTTTAGATTATTTAAGTTTTCTTTTTTAAACTCTCCAGTCCGTCCGTCTGTCCTGAATTCCTCTGAACCTCCTGCCTGAAGCTCTGACGACTGCCTGGAGTCGATCTTCTCACCTTCCTGTACTTCTTGTGCCTCATCTTCTTCCTCCTCTTCTTCTCCTCCTTCTTCATCCTCCTCTCCTCCTCGTCCACCTCGTCCTCCTCGATCAGAGGTTCATATTTATCCGGCAGGACGCTGAAGTAAACTTCTTTGGAGGTTTTCTGCTGCTGCTGCTTCTTGTCGTCCTCCATCCTTGGTCCGCCGGCTTCGTCTGTCTGAGGACCTTTGGATCGGAGGAGGAGTCGGACTTTATGAGACGCCTGAAGCTGCTGCAGACTCAGGAAGCTCTGAAGGCAGGATTAGCAGAAGAATGTGCTGCTGCTTCTTGGTCCAGGTTGATTTTCTGCTGTTTGTTTTGCAGAACAAACACTGAAACTAACAGAGTCAACAGAGAACCACCAGAACCAGGCGAGCTGCTCTGCTGTTTCGACTTTAACGTGTTTTTGTTTCCTCACGTGTTCTGGTTTCAGCACCAGATCGGGTCGGATCAGACTTTATTGGTTTTCAGGGAGAGTCCAGAGCGAATGTTTCTCAGTGTGACAGAAGAAATATCAGAACACTCTGCAGAACAAACCTCATGCTGGACCCGGTGCTGGACCTGCTGGTTCTGATTTTGTGCCACTTGACTCTGACTTGGGACTTGTTGGTCTCACTTGTAGTTTCTTGTTAAATAAGTTCTGACTCGTTGCTCCGGACTTGGGAACAGTTAGTCGGGTCTGTCAGAGGGGGGAGGGGCCGTATGTAAATACCTGAGTCAGTGGTGGTTCGTTAGCATAGATGCTAATCAACGACTGGAGTCAGAGAACAAAAGGTGATTGAATCAGGAGTCTGACAGAAAGCAGAAGGTGAGAAGATGATCAGTAACAAAGGTGGAGGAACAGAGAGCGACTCCGGGGCTCCGTCCTTCATCAACAACCCCCGAAAACCCCCAAACATGTGGTCAGACGTGGACCAAGCAGCTGGTACCGCTCGGTTAGCGAAAGAAAAACCCACCACGGCCACAGACAGAACCTCAATCTGACAAAAATCATAAGAAATAAAAATTCTATGAAAATTAACCGATGAAACCAGACGTTGCTTTTGAACCGCGGTTCTACAGAACTATTTAAAAAATAAACTCATGAAACAGTTCTGGACATAAATGATGGGACCCTGAACTCAACATGTTGNGGTGTGTGTGTTGGTGTGTGTTGGTGTGTGTGTCGGTGTGTGTGTCGGTGTGTGTTGGTGTGTGTGTGTTGGTGTGTGTGTGTTGGTGTGTGTGTCGGTGTGTGTCTTTGGGCGGCCTTGTGGCGACCTGGACCTGTTCCTGCTGGGCCCGGTCGGTGGGTTCTGATGAGCAGCGGAGACGTGATCAGTGAGAATCCAGTGAAGGGAACCAAAGCGTTTTTGTGCTGAGTGGCTCTGAAGCGTTTGTTCAGCTGCTGGTGAAAGCAGCTGAAGCGTCAGCAGCTTCCCTTCATTGTTCTCACACAAAGCGTGGCGGCCGCCGATCGGCTCTTATTGATCTGCTTCTTATCCATCCAGCGCCAAAGACGACGGCATCGACATCGACGCTCTGGCGGCGGAGATCGAAGGCGCCGGAGCCTCCAAGGAGCCGAAGGGGAAGAAGAAGAAGAAAGGAGCCAAGAAGGAGGACTTTGAGTACGAGCTCTGGTTCTGCTGCTCTGCTTGTGGTCGGTGCAGTGAAACCAGTGAGTAACTGTGTTTGTTCTGCAGCGAGGACGACATCCTGAAGGAGCTGGAGGAGCTGAGCCTGGAGACGCAGGGAGGGAAGGCCAAGGTGAGCGCCGCCGCCGCCGGGCGCCTCAGACCAGGGGGTCCAGTCCTGGTCCTGGTCCTGGAGGGCCACAGTCCTGCATGTTCTCGATGTTTCCTTCTTCCAACGCACCTGATTCAATGATCAGGATGGTGATGAGGCTCTGCAGCAGCCTCATCACCATCCTGATCTAGAACATGCAGGACTGTGGCCCTCCAGGACCAGGACTGGCCCCCCCTGCCTCAGACGGACCTGAACGTATCCATAAAACAGAGACAGGGATCCAGTGAGGATGTGCTGGTTCAATCAGCTGTTCAGTGTCAGTGGAAGTCGTGTTTCAATCCGTCGGTCTGAATCATGAACATGTTTGAGGTGGTCTGACTTTGAAACGATGTCCTGCAGAATTCAGACTAAAACATGGAGGAAATGACTCTTCATTAGATGTTTGTTATGTATTTAGGAGCTGCTGGAGTAGCACCATGTTGTTGTTGTTGTTGTTTTCCGCAGCCTTCTTTAAATATCCATAAAATAACAAAACCAGACGTTGAGTTTAATGTAAAGTAACCTGAAGAAGCTGCAGCTGTTGCCTGCACATGAAAGGACTTGAATTATTGGAGTTACGGTCATGACTGTTATTGAACGGATCAAACGGTGGATTCAACGCTGCAGCTCCAGCTAGATGCCGTTAGAGGCCGTTTCAGCTTCACGTTCCAGGTTTTTAATGTGAGATGACGTCACGCCTGTAAATCTACGTCGCTTTTGTTCCTCGTGATGTTTCACGTGTGTTTAGCCGGCCGACGTCTGAGCAGCTGATCATCGTTATTATTGATTATTAATCGCCTCAGTTTTACACCAGATCACATGTATGACTTTGACTTTGTCCTCTTTAATAAGGAATATGACACAAACAACAACAACAACAGCAAATCGACCGCTAAGCCGAATGATAAACGACATGTATAATGACAAAGACGATGTTCTGACTTCTAGAATATTAAAACAAATCTGTGCAACATGACAGAACCAACGTTTGTTTTTCCTTCCATCAGATTTTAGAAATAAATTCATAAACTGTCTGATTGTTTGTCCCTGTGCAGAAAACAGACACCACAGAAGAAGTGGAGAGCGTGGAGCCTCCCAGACCAGAGAAGAAGAAGACCAGGAAGGGGAAGAAGGGCGGAGCCAGTCCTGAGGAGGAGGAGGATGAAGGTGAAGGCCAGGTGGACGGAGAGAGGAACGAGGAGCCGAAGGACAAGAAGACGGTGAGACGACGACGGAGCCGTACTTCCTGTAGAGTGACAGATATTCACTGTTTGTAGTTTCTGTTTTACAGCCTGAACTCTGAGCGTAGCTCCACAGTTCCCGTTAGACTCTGACACCTCCGACAGAAGGTGAAAAATAAACGTTATGAGAATATTAGCGACGTGTATTTGTCAGGGCTGACGTTGGGATCGATTATCGGTGATCAAGAACAGCCAATGACTGATATTCAGAACGTAAATGCATCAGAGGTTGTTTGTTAGCATCACGTGACAACTGAGCTAACAATGTTCACTGTTACTGAATATGTACGGATTAAACAGCAGCGATTTGATGCTACGATGCTCGGCTGATCGCTGATCAATAACGGATTATCTCCTGCTGCTGTTCTTCTGTTTTGTTCTTTTCCCATTTCTATTTCTGTCTGTTTAATCTGTGGCTGCCTCCTAGCTGTTAGCCAGCTAACCTCTTAGCACTAGCATTAGCCTAGCACCGTCAGAATAAGTTCCACCTGNCTGTCAGTCGCTCTCTGACTTCATTTCAATGACCAGTCGTGCGGGCGGAACCTTTGTGCGACAGGTCTCAGCACAGCCCGGATGTTTCACGGTGACGGACCGAGGTCGGAGCCAGAAGTCAAGTTGCTCGAAGTTAAACAGAAAACCCGTTTCTCATTTATCAGAATAAAAGCGGCCTTTAAACGCTGGAGTCTGACTCACTGCAAGCTGCAGGAATCGAGTTAAAAACGCGCAGAGCGGATGAAAACTGTTGGATGACGTCATAAAACGTGATGTTTTTGGCGCCGTTGCCTTCCTGTCTGCGCCACGATGTAAATACTTCAGAGTAAAAGTATTGGTAAACTAATAAAAATGTCAAATAGACTCTCTGAATATCTGTATATTTTAACACATTTTTAATAATTATGACATGTTCCGCTGAATCTTCACTAAACCATAAATAAAACCCTAAAACTCCTATTTTTGGCGATGTGCCCTCTTTTATTTTGAAGGGTCTGACTGGAAGCAGCGCGGTGCGTCTCCGGTTGCTTTCGTCCTTCAGTGCTGCTCCGCGTGTTCGGTCAGACGGTTTGTTTACCGGCTGTTTGTTGTCTGTTTGTTTCAGTAAACACTCGTCGGTTCGGTGAGTTTGTCAGAAATCAGAGTTTTAATTTGGAGCTGCAGCTTCACAGGAAGTCAGCCGGAGACTCGTCCTGCTGCAGGTCACTGACGGCAGCTTCACTGTTCGTGGTCCTGCAGGTGAACTCAGGTAAACGTGACCTCTGACCTCCACATCAGGTCACTTTGTCCTCCAGAAGTTACACTTTAACTCACTTTACTGGAGCTTCTCCAGCAGTCCAATCAGAAATGTTTCTTCTGTCACATGTTAACGGGTCAGAAGATGGGTTTTAATACTTTAGCTCAGAGTTCTGATGAATTATGTTTAGCATCGTCTGATCCAGTAGCATTAAAGCTAACCAGCAGTAGAACACATTTTATTGTCTGCCCCACAGGCTAACTAGCTGACTGTATGGTGAACTAGTCACATTGTGTAGCACTAGCTAGCTAGTTAGCTGGCCTTATGTGAAGCTAACAACGTTGCGCTGTATTAGCTCAACATAGCATTAGCTTGCTAACTGAGTTACTTTATTAAAGATAATAACATTACGTGATGAGCTTGCTGTAGCCTTGGCTCGCTAACTAATTGGCTTTATGTGAAGCTAACATGGTTACGCTGTACTAGCTTGCTGTTGTAGTAGTAAGCTATTTGCCTGTCTTTGTTTTAACCTAATGACCTTATGCTATATTAGCTAGATATATTAAACTAGTCACATTATGCTATAGTAACTTGATGTAGCATTAGATAGGTAACTGACTATGTTAAACTACTAACATTATACTATATTAGCATGCTATTGCTCAAGCTAGCTATTTGACTTTATATCTAGCTAACAACGTTATTACATATTAGACTGCTGTTGTGCTAGCTAGCTTAAATTCTTTGACGGTGACGCTAATCATCCCTGCTGATTGGTCATTTGACATTTTTTTGTCCGGAACTTAAATGTTTACGATCACAATGTTTTTTTAGGAAACGTAGAACTTCCCCTGAAGGTGTTTTATTTTGATGTTCCAGATGTTCTCGACATGTGGAGGTGAGGAAGTGACGCCAGAAAACCATGATGTGTCGGGTCAGAGGGATGTTTCCTCTTTTAAGAGGTCGAACTGGAAACCAGAGATCCTGGTCCTGGTCCTGGTCCAGCAGGTTCTTCACGGATTCTGGCAGCAGCAGTGCAGGTCTGGTCCTCCAGTCTCGCTCCACCGATGTTCACCAGAACCTGGCTCTGGAGGACTGGATTGACGCCAACGTGGACCTGCAGCGCCGCAGCGTCCTGCTGCTGTGGAGGAACCGGCCGGCCGTGGTCATTGGGCGGCACCAGAACCCCTGGGCCGAGTGCGACCTGAAGGCCATGAGGAGGGCAGGCATCGCTCTGGCGCGGCGGCGGAGCGGCGGCGGGACGGTGTTCCACGACCTCGGGAACCTGAACCTGACGTTCTTCGCGTCCAAGAAGGCGTACGACCGGCAGAGGAACCTGAAGGTGGTGACCGAGGCGCTGAGGAGGCTCCGACCCGAACTGGACGTCCGGGCCACTGACCGACTCGACATCATACTTAATGGACACTACAAGATCTCAGGTAGGACCAAACTGGACTGGACCGGACCAGATCGGGTCGGGCTGAAGGGTTCTGTAATGGAGGCAGAAATATCCAATAAGATCAGAACTTGTTGATCTCTGAGGAGAAACTGATGTGTGATGAAACAAGGAATCAAACAAACAGGAAGTAAAGTAAATTAGAAACATCCATCCATCCATTATCTACACACAGCTTAATCCTCACCAGAGCCACCTGCAGCCCAGTTAGAAACATGTCAGTGTTTATTGTTTGTTGTTGTTTATGCTGTTTGTGTTTTTGTTTGTTTCATTTTGTCCTTTGTTGATGTTTTTCATGTTTTTGTGTTGTCACTGTTGCTTGTGTTTTTGTTTATTTATTTTTAACAGTGTTCAAGTGTTGTTTCCTGTTATTATGTTGTTTGTTATTGTTGTTGATTTTGTCACGTTGTTGTTGTTGTTGTTGTTGTTTACAGGCACCGCGTCCCGACTCAGCCGGCAGTCCTCCTACCACCACTGCACGCTGCTCCACTCGGCTGATCGCTCCGCCCTCTCTGCGGTGCTCCGCCCCTCCTGCCCTGGTATCCATAGCAACGCCACGCCCAGCGTCCCCTCGCCCGTCGCCAACCTGATAGACCACGCCCCCTCGCTGCAGTGGGAGGAGCTAGTGGAAGGCGTGGCAGAGCAGTACAACAAAGGTTCTACTGAGTTCTGCTCATGTCGGCGATGTTCCACCTTGTTCTGTTGGGTTGTACAGGGTTCTACTGGGTTCTACCGGGTTCTCCTTTCTACACAATCATTCGTCTGTTTAGTTTTTGTTTTTCACTCTGTGTTCTGCTTCATTTTTGTTGGTTCTCTCAGAGTTCTGCTTCAGTTCTGGGACCGTTCTCGTCGACCCGTCCGATGAGACTCTGTTCCCGGACGTCGGCCGTCTGGAGGCGGAGCTCCGAGGTTGGAACTGGACGTTCGGGAAGACGCCCAAGTTCTCGGTGGAGACGCAGCTGCAGCTGCCGGAGGCCCGACGCTCCGGCCGGCTGCAGGTGGACGTGAAGAACGGACGGATCGACGGCTGCAGCATCGACGCTCCGGCGGACTGGATCTGTGAGCGGCTGAGCGGAGAGCTGAGCGCCGTTCTGGTCGGAGAGAGGTTCTGTCCGAACGCAGCCGCCGCCGCCGTCGCTGCGCTGCTGCGCTGCGAGAACCGACGAATGAGGGAGCTGTGCGCCGCTGTGCTGCAGGTGATGGGCTGAGAGTAGCCAATCAGAGAGCAGCGCCACCGCGGCCAATCACAGAGCAGCACTGCCCCCTGCTGGAGGAACTGTGGCTGGTTCTGCTGAGAACATGAGAAAGTTCACCTGTGAACGTTGAAGCACTTTGAGATTTGATCACACTGACAATAAACACGTGACTGTGAGAACGTCTCTGATGTTTGGAGCTGAAGAACCGGGTCCATACAGAACTCTGAGAACAGAACCAGGTGGAAGCTTCAGAGGCCAAAAGTCTTTCAGAATGTCTCCAAGCTGCCAGAAATAATCAGACAGGTTCTGTTCATTTCTGGATCGTTGTGTGTTTTTTGCGTTCGTGTGGTGATTTTGTGTCTTCATGCTAAAAGCTGTTCCGTGTTGACAGAACCAGGATGGACACACGGTTCCGAGTCTGGTTGGAGAAAAACCCAAAACAAATAAAACCGTCAGTCTGGACCACATTTAGGTCGATTTCTAATTCAAGCTGTGACTCCTCTCGTGTCTCAACAGTTTTTTACTAAAATATTTCAGAATAATTGCAGGTTTAATCCCGGATTGTGACGTTTCTGCAGCTCGACAGCGACACCAACAGGAAGAACCGGAAAATAACAAAACACACAATAAACCAGTCAGTTTGTTTCTTCATCATAAATCTGACAAATATCATCTGTCAGAGTTTGTGATCGATCGATAATCATGATCACTGATCTTTGATTCCTGACAAACCTCGGACAGGTCAAATCGCAGCACGCATGCGCAGCCCTCCAGATTTGAGCCACGCTGGTGCAGAGAGGCGGGAGCAGAGCGGAGGTCTCACTCCGACACGTTCTCCACAAACCAAAGCCCAAGTCTGCTTTAAAACACACGAAAACAAGAACTTTATTGACACAGCGATGACAGACAGAATAAAAAGGATTAAAAAAATTACATGGAATCAGGAAAATAGTAAATAAAACAAAATGAATCCCAGAAGTAGTGATGAATTAATGTTTTCATGTTCTTTGTTCTTTCAAATATGTTTTATTAATGAGGCTTTGAGAACAACTGCTGCTCAGTCAGAATGATGAAACCCTTCATTTCAGACACTCCTGGTAAAAAGAACAAACACATGATGAAAACTAATAACAATAAATCTTCAGTTTGTTCCGTTGGATCTTCACGTTTTCTACTTGAACGTTTTCGTTTTAATGTTTTTGTTCATTTATTTTCCTTCTACATGTTTTCATGAAGTCCAGATCCGGTTCTACCTGGATCAGGTCACTCTGTCTTATTTTAATGGTTTTTAAGTCCATAAGTTTCCGTCCAGTCGGTTTCTATGGCAACGGCCGCGCAGTCCGCTCGCGGGACGCGGCGGAGTGAGACCTCCGCGCGCAGCGTCGGGCACGAGACGATCTCTGCGGTGATCGTCGTGTTCCAGCGGAGCCCGAAGAACCGGAGAACCGGAGCAGCGCAGCGGCAGGATGGGCAAGAAACAGAAGAAATCCGGGGAGGACAGGTAGGCAGAGCGCCGCCCGCCGGCACGCACCGGCCGCCCGCACCGACACCGGGCGGCGGGGCGCCGCGGTGCCCCGTTACAAGCCCCCAAAGCGCCCGCTTTCCCGCTGTTAGCTTAGCGGCTAGCAGATGCTAACCACGAGTCAGAGTGCGCGTGCAGGTGAGGCTTTAAACCGGATGAAAATGGCTTCAGGTGACAAACACCGGCAGGCGGGCCGACACCGGCTCACCGGGGCCAACCGGGGCTCACCGGGGCCCATCGTGGCCCACCGGGGCCGGCCACAGCCTCCGCCGGCTGCCTGCCCACAGCTCCGGGCTCAGAGCCGCGGATTCAGCCGCTGTTAGCAGTTAGCAGGTTAGCTTCCTCACAGCTGCTGCGCTTAGCTAGCTGCTCTCAGGTGCAGCTTCCAGCACGAGACTGTGTCTCTCTGACAGGCAGGTAAAGCTGCGCGAGCTGCTGCTTCCGCCAGGTGAGTTTACCTGGACGCTGAAGAAGGAGCTACATGCTAACTGGAGCAACCAGCAGCTTGCTGTTAGCGGTTAGTCTCTGTGAATGTGTCAGAAAACAGACAAGTAAC